TTTACGAAGCTTTTTTCTTCTATATTCACAAAAAATTTGCAGAAGGATCGAATGGGTAAAAGAATTGTGGTGTCATTTTTCATCCTTTTCATCACTCTACACAACATCTTTACAGAAGCAGCTCCACGAGTTTGTTTTAAATCTTAAAGAAATCGTTTGACGATAATGATTAAGTGGCTGAGTTTAGCTTACAATGATCTTTTGATCAATAAATCTTTGTAATCTTGGTAATCTTGTTTTACTAGCATTTATAACATTGAAATGACAAAAGCACAAATTCCTTTAAATAGGAAATGTTTAATCGAACGAAAAATGAACCTGAGCTTGAAAAAAACCGGAACAATCCCCAGGTCTTTCATCCTACAATCCTCCATCCAATAAATGGGAATTTCAAAGTATGGGCTCAAAATTGAATCTGTGACAATGCAATAATCTCTTCCTTTTCTCATTAGAAAGCTTTCCTTTTTTATCACAAGTCATTCCAGACGTTTTCCTTTAAAATAACACCTGTCTTTTTCTATACTTTCCATTACTGACGTCTTGTCTTCAAATCTTCATTGTCAAGTCTCCAATAGATCAGAAATTGTGGTGTCATTTTTCATCCTTTTCATCACTCTACACAACATCTTTACAGAAGCAGCTCCACGAGTTTGTTTTAAATCTTAAAGAAATCGTTTGACGATAATGATTAAGTGGCTGAGTTTAGCTTACAATGATCTTTTGATCAATAAATCTTTGTAATCTTGGTAATCTTGTTTTACTAGCATTTATAACATTGAAATGACAAAAGCACAAATTCCTTTAAATAGGAAATGTTTAATCGAACGAAAAATGAACCTGAGCTTGAAAAAAACCGGAACAATCCCCAGGTCTTTCATCCTCCAATCCTCCATCCAATAAATGGGAATTTCAAAGTATGGGCTCAAAATTGAATCTGTGACAATGCAATAATCTCTTCCTTTTTCTCATTAGAAAGCTTTCCTTTTTTATCACAAGTCATTCCAGACGTTTTCCTTTAAAATAACATCTGTCTTTTTCTATACTTTCCATTACTGACGTCAAAAACAATTGAAATTAATTAAAAATCAAATTTTTAATTAGCTTAGTAATAGCAAAAAAATCCAATGGAAAACCAATAGATTTTGGCTTTATTCTTTTTACAAGGTAAAATCCACAGGTTTTAAATGAATGATTTCAAATTTTCAGGACAAGGAGAAGCTATTGGAATTTCACGAATTTAAGAGGTGGGTTTTTAGAGCAATTTTAATTTAAAATTTAAAGCAAATTTAAAAAGCAATTTGTATAAGAGAGTTTATTTTATTTGTATAAGATCTTATAGAGTTTGTATAAGAGATATTTTAAGATTTATTAACTTTAAAATGTAGACGATTAAAAATGAAACAAGTTTCAGCTTAATATTTTAAAAGTAAACAAAAACTAATAATCTTTCAGTGTGTCAAGCAGAAAGATTTTCCACAGAAAAATGGGCTCCTTGTCCTTCACTTAGAGTGAGTTGTGTGGTGCCAGTAATCAGCGGTGCTTTGAAGGGTACCATAGCTTGTTCCGATATTACTCGAGTAAGATAAAGGTTCCCATTTTAGCCGCATGATCCAATTGATTGGCCTTGTATCAGAGCGGTTGAATTGTGTAATGGAAATCGAGATTGTCCAAATGGTGAAGATGAGGAACCGAACATGTGCATGTTTCATTCTTTGGTTCGTTTTAATTTAATGCTAGAACTTTAAACGAATTTCTGTAGTGGTAGTCCAGTTAAAAGCCTTTCCTGGTGTTGGAATTCAGTTAAAAGCCTTTAAAGGGGAGATTTATCCATTTAAATTTGTATTTTTATGATTCAAATATTTAGCTTTAAAGTAAAGAGATTTCATCGACCTTTGAAGCTTTTAAACTTTCAAAACACCCATAAAAATCTCAATTTTCAGAATCAAGGATCATTGCGTCAATTGCAGCGGGACTTTTTGAGATTCAGTGGTGCTACACCGTCGTCAAGTACACCCTATGAATTCGTGAAAATCAAGTCTTAGCCATATACGGGTGAGTTTTGAAGGTAAAACAACAATGACATTAATGATCAATGATCAATGATTGACGGATTATCAACAAATCTATAAAAAGCCCAACAAAATTATTAAAACCCTAGGGTTTAAGTTAGGCTAAGCTAAGACTCGGCTGCACCAGGAAGAGACAAGCAGCTCAAAGAAGATCCAAGGCCTGGCTCTAGCTTTGTCTGGTTTACAGGGAAAATCCAGTTAAAAGCCTTTCCTGGTGTTAGAATCCAGTTAGAAACCGTTCTTTGTTAGAATCCAGTTAAATCATTCACTTTAGATAAACTCCAGCTAAACTATCAAAATTTAACTGGAAACATTTACAGAATTCGACTAACGTTTGGAATGATCTCCTTTTCCACCTCGAATTACTCCAAATCGGCTCTCTTACTAGAATTCATAGAATTGTTGTCGAATTTTCTTTCTCTCTGCACAAAAAGATTTTTGGAATTGTCGATTTTTCTCTTTTTATTGATTCATCACTTTCTCGCTGAACAAATGCAAATGTTAATCATTCATTGTCCGAATACGAAACATATATAAAAGAACTTCAGATATGGACTAGAAAGAGTGTGTTTGAGCACAAAATATACTTGAAGAACACAACTGCTTTGAAACAACTTTGACTTTGAAACAAGAATTGAGTCTATTTTGATTATTTCGTCATTATTGCTAGCTTAAGTAAGCTAGAAAAGATTTTTTTTATTTTCGAAATCTCGAAAGACGACTAGACTTAAATGTCAGCTGCTTCTTAGGTGTGACAGCTGCTTGTTAGCTATGTCGCTGCTTGTTAGGCGTTAAATCTTTCCATGTAGAGCTCCTATATCTTTGTGGGATTTGCTGTGGCCAGATATCTTTGTCAAGCAATTTTTATTATCAAAGTCATTATAAAGGTATCATGGTAAGCTTTCTGAGTGGTTTGATCCAATGAAAATTAACAATTAAACAGACAAACAGAAATTAAACCAGCTCCAAATTTTTGAATTCGAAGCCCTCAACATTGAAATTTTAGCCTCAGTTTTTGAAATTTTCTATTTGCTACAAACACCTGAAGTTTTTGAGGCTTGTGATTTGCAGATTGAATTTGACTAAAATTAAGCTGATCAATTGAAAGCTGAACGTTTGAAGACAGTCATTTTCAAAACTAGGTGACCTCTAGAAAGAAAATTAGTGAGAGAAGACTCCATTACAAGCTACGATGCTGAAGAATGAATAAACGTAGGTCTATGCAAAGGTTGACAAAAATTGGATGGAGTCGAACTTCTCCATGTGATAGAATTCAATGATCTGGATACCAATGAAAGCATTCTTCGGTGAATGATAATGTTTTAAAATCGATTGACTGTTTTTGTAGCAAAATAGTCAAATAAATTGGCGTAAAACCTCTAATATACCTATATGTACGTTGATTTTTCAAATACCATCGAGTACCAAGATAATCACCGGATTTCTTTTGTTTTACAAAACTCGTAAACGCTTCTTGGCTTAATCAAATTTGTTTTAGTTGCAAAGAAGAAGTTTTCCTTGTCATTCTGCACTTGTTGCTGGTCCTGTCAACGATTTTCTTTTAATTTTTTATTTCAAAACACCAACGATCCAAAAACCATCACTTTTCTTTTAGTGGAAAACGGAAAAGTATAAAAAAAACCCGCACAGGCTGTGGATTCTTTAGAGAAATTTTAAAACAAAGATGAGATATTTTGAATATCAAGTAAAATTGACAATGTTCTAGAAAAAAACAACATTTGATTAAAGTGGATTGTAAAATTGGACTAGACGAGGAGTGGGACTTTGTAAGCACTTTGTCTAAGGCAAATTGGAACAAGATGAGAAGACACAGATTGAAATGAATGATGTTGGACTCAAGAATTAGGCTTGAAAGTGAGTAAGCTAACCAGCAGACCATTTGATTGATGATTTTAAGGAAGCAAGTTGGAAATGTGAAGGATTTTGTTTGAATCCGGTTTAGAACTGGCTGTCAATTGGAGCACATCGTCGGGGTTTTCCGTGAATACGGATGTGACGGGATTTGCTCGGTTGATGGGCATCTGTAGAGCGAATCACATGGAATCTCGGGACCTCAGCGCCTAGAAATTGGAGATGAATAAAGTGTAGATGAACTTTGATTATCAACCGATTAACAGCTGGAGTTGCATTAAGTTTGATCAAGTTTATCTTAGCCTTATTGACTATCAATGAGCCGATAAAATGAAGGAATTGGCAAGGAAAAGTTGTTAAAAATCTTCCTTTTCGCAAAGGCATCCGAGACTCGAGAAGAAGCACATTCAGACTCTCGAAAAGGCACCAAAATCCACCATCAAATTTGGGAATATTTTTTGGCATGACTAAGCACTCCTATTAGGGTGGTGCAAAAGAAACTGCCCGATGGGTATCAGCCTCATTTATCAGAAACGAGCGATGCTAACGGCATTTTTTTAAAAATTGATCAAATTTGAGTTGCAAAAATTTTTGAGTCGTTTAATCGATGGCATTTTGATGAAATTTTGATTTTAAGAAGCTTTAGATAATAGATTTTCTAATAGATATCTAATAGCTTTTGAAAATAAAGCTATTTTAAGAGTAAAAAGTGAAAATGAAGCGAAATCGATTGTTTATTTGAAGGAGAAAGGTGAAGTGTGTAAAAATAGTAAAAAAGGGGAAAAAGAAACCAGATATGAAATTGTCCAAGTCCAAGTCCGAGTTAATGGTTGCACTTGGTCAATGTTCAGCTTAATGGTGTTGTTGATGTTTTGTTTGCCTGATGTTTGTTGTTGGATAATTGGATGGATAGCACTTAAAATATCTCTTATACAAACTCTATGAGATCCAACAAACGCTTGTACAGTAGTGTGCCCAGTTTCATTCAAAGATTTTATACGCATTTTCGTTCCCGCTCGTTTTTGCAAGAAGACTAGTGCACGAGAAGTAGTGCGTTTACGAGCACAAAATGAAGCTGAAGGCGAATTTACAGCTATAGAAAGATTCTAAGTGCTATAGAAAGAAGAGCTATAGAAAGATTCTCCATCTAACGCGTTTGGCACTGATTTCAAACTCTAAAACTCATAATATAGTTTACAAGTATTGCTTTTACTTCATAAATTATCTAGATCACAATCCCAAGGTCACCCTAAAATTGATGATTCTGTATATTTATGGAAAAAAAATGCTTCTATTAAAATTGCTTTGTGTGAAAGAAACGACGAGGCCGGGCGGAGAGACAGGCAAAGTCTGCAATCATATTCATGCAATCATATTTCATTCGTTTGACTGTCCTTTCAGCCGGTCTAAACGTCCCAATTGATTCGCATTCACCCCCGTTCCCTAATTCTGAATTCTATATAGGCATTCGCTTGTCTCATCCCTCCTCTTCCCTCTCTTCCTCTTCCCTCATCTTCCCTCGTCTTCCCTCTCTTTGCTTCCCTTCCCTCCTTCCCCAATCCATTCATCCATTCGATTCTTTTCTTTATTTCACAACACTGTATATAGACTTGGCTTTTGTGAAATAAAACTTTTAATTTTTCAAGATAACCGAATACACAGTTACACAAATCTAAGAGCAAATGACTGTACTCTACAGAATTGGATGGAATATCGTAAGCCGGTCTAAATCTTCACGATTGAGAGAATGTGATCAGATCCAGCTGTGATATCATACCAGCTAGTCAAGCTTACAGTAATCTCGATGACTCTCGATGAAAATATTTGGTACTGCGAGGCAGTAGCGTCGCGTAACTTGGTTACGGATTACGATGGTTTTCCATTGGATTTTACGCATGACGTGTTCTTTTAAAGTGCATTCTATTCGATACCCATCCCCTTTGGCACTCCAACTTTGAGCTCAAATATCTTAATGTTGGACTAGCCAATTTAAATATTCTGAATATCATCGGATGCATATGTAGATCGTATTGCCGTTCCTCCTTTTTCCTGTCCCGCTTACCGTACCTTTCCCCATTCGTGTCTTTTCTTGCCTCCGCGTCACCTGCTTTCCTTCAGCGATGGGCAACACGAGCTTCATATCCTATGTGGTATCTGTCTGTTTGTATCCTGTTTTTTCGGTGTCCTCTCATTTTTTCTTTAGATCAAAAACAAATGCGAAAAAGAGTCAATCCAAGTTCACGTCACGTCAATCTTCAATTTTCACGCCAATCCAAGCACTCCTTTCACTAATCTTTTCCCTTTCGCTAATCTTTTTTCTTTCACTAAGCTTTGATTTGTTCAGCAAAGCTTTGATTTGTTCACAAAGCTTTGATTTGTTCAGCAAAGAACGCAAAACCCAATACTAGATTCTTTCCTGTTGTTGAAAATCAATAACATTCAAATCTTGATCAAGTGTAGGCTGGTCAATCAATCAATAATTTGTTCAAAAAATTTCCAGCTCTCAGATTTATTTTGGAAATTATTTTAATTCTTTTAATTGAGATGCTCAGCTCATTCAGGAATTTTTGTAAAAAAACCTTTGCAAATCTCATGATGCTTTCTATTTTGTGCGCTAACCTATCAAAATAAACTTTTTCTTTTCTTCATTTTCTTGTCTTCAAATCTTCATTGTCAAGTCTCCAATAGATCACAAGATTCCCCCAAAGATATAGTCAAAATTTCTTGATTTGTTCAGCAAAGCTTTGATTTGTTCACAAAGCTTTGATTTGTTCAGCAAAGAACGCAAAACCCAATACTAGATTCTTTCTTGTTGTTGAAAATCAATATTAGTGTTATACATTTTCTGAAAAGTCGTCACCTGCTTTCCTTCAGCGATGGGCAACACGAGAGCTTCATATCCAAACAGGAACGAAACAACTTGACTTGTGTGCTTTTTGAAAATCTGTTATTGTCGCAAAATTCGTACTTTCTGAACTTCGTACTACTTCGTACTACATTTTTCTGAAAAGTCGTCACCTGCTTTCCTTCAGCGATGGGCAACACGAGAGCTTCATATCCAAACAGGAACGAAACGACTTGACTTGTGTGCTTTTGAAAATCTGTTATTGTCTCAAAACTCGTTAAAGATTGGCCCGATTCGCCAAATTCGTGCAGGTCTCCGCCTCGATTCGATCGATGATCGTCCAGTTCCGCTACATTTCGGGGTAATAAAGCTTTTCCTGAATTGATAAATTCCAGATTTTTCCTGTGATAAAGCAAGATTCCGTTTCAGAGGTACGAAGTGGGACAGCGACCATCTGGAAAAAGATATTACATCCCCTTTTTGCACCCCAACTTTGGGCTCAAATATCTTAATGTTGGACTTTTCAATTTAAATATTCTGAATATCATCGGATGCATATGTAGATCGAATTGCCATTCCTCCTTTTTCCTATCCCGCTTACCGTGCCTTTCCCCATTCATGTCTTTTCTTGGCTCCGCGTCACCCGCTTTCCTTCAGCGATGGGTATCCTATTTTTCGGTGTCCTCTCATTTTTCTTTAGATCAAAAACAAATGCGAAAAAGAGTCAATCCAAGTTCAGGTCACGTCAATCTTCAATTTTCACGCCAATCCAAGCACTCCTTTCACTAATCTTTTCCCTTTCACTAAGCCTTGATTTGTTCAGCAAAGCTTTGATTTGTTCACAAAGCTTTGATTTGTTCAGCAAAGAACGCAAAACCCAATACTAGATTCTTTCTTGTTGTTGAAAATCAATAACATTCAAATCTTGATCAAGTGTAGGCTGGTCAATCAATCAATAATTTGTTCAAAAAATTTCCAGCTCTCAGATTTATTTTGGAAATTATTTTAATTCTTTTAATTGAGATGCTCAGCTCATTCAGGAATTTTGTCAAAAAAACTTTGCAAATCTCATGATGCTTTCTATTTTGTGCGCTAACCTATCAAAATAAACTTTTTCTTTTCTTTATTTTCTTGTCTTCAAATCTTCATTGTCAAGTCTCCAATAGATCACAAGATTCCCCAAAGATATAGTCAAAATTTCTGTTTTTCCTTCCTTTCACCGTCCACAAATCTTTTGCATTCTTTTTCTCATTTCTCACTTTTTTAATCCTCTATTTTACGAAGCTTTTTTCTTCTATGTTCACAAAAAAATTTGCAGAAGGATCGAATGGGTAAAAGAATTGTGAGTGTCATTTTTCATCCTTTTCATCTCTACACAACATCTTTACAGAAGCAGCTCCACGAGTTTGTTTTAAATCTTAAAGAAATCGTTTGACGATAATGATTAAGTGGCTGAGTTTAGCTTACAATGATCTTTTGATCAATAAATCTTTGTAATCTTGGTAATCTTGTTTTACTAGCATTTATAACATTGAAATGACAAAAGCACAAATTCCTTTAAATAGGAAATGTTTTCCATTCACTTTTCTATCATTTCAACCCGATTTTTGGTCTATTTTAGTCTTCCAAGTGACTTTAAGTGTAAAGAAACCAATTTCTTTGTAAAATTCGATAAAAACCTCTATAAAGGAATCGGTTGAACAGATATTCTCAAAATTCGGCCATAGTTGACATTGGCATTGACAATCATTGACAACAAAAGGTTTATGTAAATCATAAAACGCTTAAATTGGGTCTTCGCGCTGTCGCCTTTTTTTGACTATCCGACTTCATGCCTACATAAAAAACTATAGAATATAAACTTTATAATACTACACTAATGCTAAACTAAACTAATAATACTAAAAAAAATTTTCATAATATTTCTTGATTCTGTAGAAAAATAGGCCTTTCTAATGCAGCAAGCATTAGATTAATTGATATTGGGTTGATGGAAAAGTTCTTTCCGAAATTTGGGGAGTGTACCTTAAATTTGTCAAGTTTTTGACGTTTATAGCTTATGCTAAAGCTGAATCAATACAGATCGATGGGTACAAAAGCCGCCTTGAGGATATCTCTTTTCTAAAAGATTTTACAGCTATTTTAGTAAAGTAAAGGGCAGCAGAGCCAAAAATGGATGTTTCCACGTTTTCAGAAAATGGCTTTTCGTTAGTTTTCCGTGCGAATTTGTTTCTCATTTCTAAATGCTAGTGGAATGATTTATATCATTTATAAATAAATCATTTATAGATAAATCATTTATATAAATACTTTATTCAGAAAGAAATAAAGTGCGAAAACGCATTAATAAAATCTATTATATTAGATAATTTGCATATCTAACTTTAATCGAACGAAAAATGAACCTGAGCTTGAACAAAACCCGAACAATCCCCAGGTCTTTCATTTGTTTTCCTCCAATCCTCCATCCAATACAATGGAAATTTCAAAGTCTAGACTCAAAATTGAATCTGTGACAATGCAATAATCTCTTCCCATTAGAAGCTTTCATTTTCTTTCTACCACAAGTCATTCCAGACGTGTTCCTTTAAATTAACACCTGTCTTTTTCTATACTTTCCATTACTGACGTCAATAATCTCTTCCTTTTTCCTTCTTTTACCATGTAAAATCCACAGGTTTTAAATTAATGATTTCAAATTTTCAGGACAAGGAGAAGCTATTGAATTTCACGAATTTAAGAGGTGGGTTTTTAGAGCAATTTTAATTTAAAATTTAAAGCAAATTAAAAAAGCAATTTGTATAAGAGAGTTTATTTTATTTGTATAAGATCTTATAGAGTTTGTATAAGAGATATTTTAAGATTTATTAACTTTAAAATATAGACGATTAAATGAAACAAGTTTCAGCTTAGTATTTTAAAAGTAAATAAAAACTAAAAATCTTTCAGTGTGTCGAGCAGAAAGATTTTCCACAGAAAAATGGGCTCCTTGTGCTTCGCTTAGAGTGAGTTGTGTGGTGCTAGATATCAGTGGTGCTTCGAAGGGTGCCATAGCTTGTTCCGATATTAGTTGAGTAAGATAGATATTTTAAATGTTCCCATTCATCCTTTCAGTTCTTAATTGAGCTTCCAGCATCAAGATCTAAAATTAATGAATTAGGGATGTGGCATTCATAAAAAATATAATCGCTGTATACTTGACGAGGTCAACATTTGGTCGCACGTATTTTTTCTGCCAATAAAAACCCAATCAATAATTCAAAATTGCTCAATTTCCCATTTTCCATTCAATTATTGTTCTCTTTCGAACTATTGGCAGAGCCGTTGGCAGAAATAGCCTCTAAAAACTCGTTAAAGATTGGCCCGATTCGCCAAATTCGTCCAGGTCTCCGCCTCGATTCGATCGATGATCGTCCAGTTCCGCTACATTTCGGGGTAATAAAGCTCTTTCTGAATTGATAAATTCCAGATTTTCCTGTGATAAAGCAAGATTCCGTTTCAGTCTCGAGGAATCGGACAATAAGTGGTCAAAAAGCAAAATGAAAAAAGATGATTGAAATCTTTAAAGATAATCAATGACTTTTGCAGTCCTTCTTATAGAATCAGAGGAAAAGTTGAAAAAACTACAGAAACGGGTTTAAGAACAAGCATTAAGAACAAAAGCTAGAAGAAAAGGATAAGGTTGTAGAGTTGACATTGACAGAGATCTATGACCACACATTTCAGAATCGGTGCATGGCCTTCACAATTCATCGCACAGGATCGGGGCAAACAATCGATCGAATCCCATTCATCGAACACCGCGACGACAACTACACAGTTGATATATTGACGAGTCTGTAATAGTACCACAACCCCAGAATGACAGTGCGGAGTGTTGCGTAGTCTGTGCGGAGTGTTGCGTAGTCTAGCTTTAAAGGAAGGTGTATTTTTTGATCATTCTATCCCATTGCATTATCAGACTTGCGTTTTATAGTAAAAGCTATTTTCGGACATCAACGATAAGTACAATTACTGTTTTAATCCCCAATTTCGGTCAAAATACGAAGGAAAACCAAGAGCTCTATGCCGACAAAAACATTGCATTGTGATCCGGTGGAAACCAGTAATCAAATCACTTCACCATTTCCCCAAGACGATGATAGATAAAGCATTGATATTAATCCAAAACCTCTTTGCTCACCTCTTTTTTGCTCATTGACCAAAATGTTAAACGAACGGCTTAGACGTTTTGGCTTAGACGACGATGAATATTTGCATATTTTATCCTCTAAAATTTCAGCTGACCGCGTACTACTGTGCAGACAAGTTGACCTTGCAAGGAAAACCGATTCCCGGAAACAGCTCTTCAGGTGAGGTGTTCAAGAGGGCAATTGGGAAGCAGGTAAACAGGAGAGGAGCAGGGACACGAAACGAGCGGAAAGTTAGCTCAAACCGGCGCTATTTTTATGATCTGAAAAGGGCGTCTAGAGAAAGCATTGGCTTGACTGCCAGCCAGCTTAATACAATTAAGAATTCTTTTGTACTTTTGCATAAATCCAGGTTTGAATCTAGTAGAATCCCAGTGCCGATAATCCGGATTTCTACCGTGAAAAGAAGGACATTCACAATAGGAGTGAGTCCATTTCCCATTTCATTCATAATTATGAATCAAATCAGAAGTTTTTCAGAGGTTTTTCTAAAACCTATTAGACGAGTTTTTCAGTTGAACGATGTCGCAAGAATATTAACGACCGAATCAACTAATTAGGGCTTTTGTTGCCTAAATGAGCCTCCAAGTGAGTTAAAATCAAATTCACAAGAAAAAACACTAAATATTTGCTTCGTGTTGTCACGAGCCAAATTTAGAGAGATGAAGCTGAACAAAGGGACTATCCTCAAAGCATCTTGTGACTACATTCTACATTCAAAAGGATCGAGATGTAAGTGAAAAGAAAAAAACTTTTATGCAAAGAAGAGCTTTCAGAGCATGATTAAACAACAGCAACAACAAAACAAATTGGAAAACGCTGCGAAACACTACGCCGATCGAGTCAGGGTGAGTGAAGGAAATGGCTGGGCGTGGCTTGGCTTGGCGTGGCTTGGATTGGCTTCACTATTCAATTCAATGCTTCTTCAGCTACAGTATTTGACAAAGAAATATCATATTTGAAAAATGCGTCACTTTCGCGCGTCTGTAACTCCCTTGTCTTTGAGTTTAAACTATTAGTGTTACACATTTTCTGAAAGCTCTTTTCAAGGGCTACACAATGATAATATTAATATTTAGAAATACGGTAAAGACAAGGGAGTTACAGACGCGCGAGAGTGACGATCTTTTTTAAAACATCAGATTTCATTGCCCAGTAGTGTAGATACCCGTTAAACCATTCTACTAAGCGAGTAAATAAAGATAGATAAAAGATACGCATTCTATGCACTCAATTCTAGGAACTCGAGGATATCTTGGCGAAGAATGGCCTCAACGCGCCCACCAAAGTTCTTCCTACATTCCCAGCCATCCCCTCCGCTCCTCGACCAATCAAACAGGAGATCGAAGAGAGTCGAAATCAAACCCCATGGGATCACTTGTAAGTGATCGCTCAACTCTTCTCTTGTCGAGAAGACTCACAATCAATCGGCTCCCGATTGGGTACTAAAAAATCAGCAATTATTTTCGGAAACTAGTACTAGGACCCCTAAATTTATGTTCTTTATTTTGCTCTTATTCTCTATTTTTTAGTCCTCATCGGGTTTTATGTCACAGCTCTCTGACACGGCGGCTGCGATCGCCTCCCCGCTAGGATGGATCTATGATGGATCCAATCAATTCTTTAGCTCAAGTCCACAAGATTATCAGACGCCACAATGGAGGTGGAGAAGTTATAGATATATCAAACAAAACTTTGTCTAATTATATTATATTGATTGTTTACAGTATTCAGCTAAAGTTAGTGTCAAATAGAAGCAGAAAGTGGTCGAATTTGGTTGCAAAGTAGAAGCTACAGTAGCTTATTGTAGAAGTAGAAGCAATTCAATACATTCAATATCTTACAGCCCGACAGTCAAAGGATGCACCACGGGCCATTCCCCGATTTGATCACGGAGTGGTGTCTTGAGGTAGGATTGAGATATAGATAAAACAATATATCATTCTATTTAAATCTAAACCCTAATATCTAAATCCTAAGATCTACATTTAAATATGAAATATCTAATATGCTCTGCATACAGAACAATCCACTCCTCCACTCGGACCCGTTAATGTCACAAGCCGGAGGCCCATCGTCAAACCTTGCCGTCAGCCAGATGAGCCATGGTCTCTCGTGGGATCCCACAAATTTCAGGTACGATGAAGAGAAAATGGAGTATGTTGTATGCAATATAGAAACATGCGATACTTTGCTCCCTAGAAGTCGAAAATCTTGATTAAGCCTTGTTTAGATTATCCTAAGCTACCTGAAGATGAGCACCTACCATTGGCTGTACAGTCAATAGCGTTTAAGTCCAAGGGCACTGTACTGTAGTTAGAAATTCTGTAGCCTTAGAGTACTGTAGTCCGAAACCCTGTAGCCGAATATTTCTTACGCCATGTTTATACAGCATGTTTAGAAGTTGTTTCCAGGGCACTTGGGGGCAAGTGTCAAGCTATTTAGAAGATATCTGATATTTAAATTCTACCCTATCTGAATTCCTCAATTTTCAGTCCCGACCCGAACACCGTGTACAGATGCACGCCAATCACAATATGGACTATTCATGAAGAACTCTGCTTGCCATTTAAACATCCAACAAACGATGTACAGCAGTGTGTCCAGTTTCATTCAAAGATTTGATACCCATTTTCGTTCCCAATACTAAGCTGAAACTTGTCTCAATTTTAATCGTCTATATTTTAAAGTTAATAAATCTTGAAATATCTTGTAATTTCTTCTTTTAATTTTTTATTTCAAAACACCAACGATCCCAAAAACATCACTTTTCTTTTAGTGGAAAACGGAAAAGTATAAAAAACCCGCACAGGCTGTGGATTCTTTAGAGAAATTTTAAAACAAAGATGAGATATTTTGAATATCAAGTAAAATTGACAATGTTCTAGAAAAAAACAACATTTGATTAAAGTGGATTGTAAAATTGGACTAGACGAGGAGTGGGACTTTGTAAGCACTTTGTCTAAGGCAAATTGGAACAAGATGAGAAGACACAGATTGAAATGAATGATGTTGGACTCAAGAATTAGGTTTGAAAGTGAGTAAGCTCAACAAGGAGACCATTTGATTGATGATTTTAAGGAAACAAGTTGGAAATGTGAAGGATTTTGTTTGAATCCGATTTAGAACTGGCTGTCAATTGGAGCACATCGTCGGGGTTTTCCGTGAATACGGATGTGACGGGATTTGCTCGGTTGATGGGCATCTGTAGAGCGAATCACATGGAATCTCGGGACCTCAGCGCCTAGAAATTGGAGATGAATAAAGTGTAGATGAACTTTGATTATCAACCGATTAACAGCTGGAGTTGCATTAAGTTTGATCAAGTTTATCTTAGCCTTATTGACTATCAATGAGCCGATAAAATGAAGGAATTGGCAAGGAAAAGTTGTTAAAAATCTTCCTTTTCGCAAAGGCATCCGAGACTCGAGAAGAAGCACATTCAGACTCTGGAAAAGGCACCAAAATCCACCTTATTATTTTTTGGATTATTTTTTGGCATGACTAAGCAATCCTATTGGGGTGGTGCAAAAGAAACTGCCCGATGGGTATCAGCTCGGCATTATTTTTTATGTTTGTGCGAAATGAAAAAGGAACGGGACTCTTGTTGGTCATATAAACAAATTAGGTTACCAGAAAGGATTTCCCACTTTAGGAGAGATTTGTTTTTGGATAGGCCGCAAAAAGGTTTCATTTCCGAAGAATCGTGTGGTTCAGGAAAAGTGGCAAAGATTATTGTAAAAGAAAATTCGACTAGTTTTACTTTCCAGGGCCTTTTAGTTTTACTAATTTTTTCAACTTCAGCAAACCATCCTATCACCACAAACGCAAAGCTCAACCATCCATCTCGGAAGAATCGAAAACAGTAGAGAATCATATCTCCGTATTCAAAATCTTTCACGCAATCCCAACAATTTACGACCGAATGTGCTTCTTCTCGAGTCTCCGATGTCATTTGTCGAAAGGTAGATTTTTAAATGAATTCATTTACCTTACAAAAATCTCTTTCTTGCCAGATCCTTTATTTCTTTCTTCATATCATTCAAGAAGGCTAAGATAGTCATTGATAGCCAATAAGGCTTAGATAAACTTGATCAAACCTAACTCAACTCCAGCTGTTAACCGGCTGATAATCGAATTTTATCTACGCTTTACTCATCTCCAATCTCTTAAGTTCTTAGCTCCCAAAATTTCATGTGATTCGCTCTACAGATGCCCATCAACCGAGAAAATGTTAAGAAAAGCAAGAAAATCAAAGAAAATATCAAGAGAAACAAGAAAAACCAGAAAAACAAAGGAAAATGTCAAGAGAAACCAAGAATCTCAAGCTCTAAAGTGGAAATCATTTCAATTTTTATTCCTTTCTAGCTAAAAATTTCGAATTTTACCTCAAATCTTGACACTTTTTAAGAGTTTTCAGAGTTTAGAGTTTCCAGTTTCCAAAAAAGAATCATTTCCGAAATTTCGCGTGTCAGCTCCGCGCCAAACTGATATTTTAGTTACTATTGTTATCATTGAATGCTTTGTCTAATCTTATGCAAATGTGTTCTCCTCTGTGCTTATCCCTTTTATTGCCGAGAAGGGGCGGTCCTTAGGATTGCCTGGAAGGACAAGGGAGACTCTCATTAGGATTCCCTCCTTCCCCTTACACTCATCTCCAATCTATTCATCTTATTGTATTACTGTAAATAAAGATATGTATCTTCCGGGTCTATGTAACTGTAGTGCAACTACAGGTCGGTCATTTCCCGCACAGGCTGTGGATTCTTTAGAGAAATTTTAAAACAAAGATGAGATATTTTGAATATCAAGTACTCCCCTCTAATACGTTGGAGGAGTTGAGTTGGGTTGTCGGGGTGTTAGAGATGGCGGGATATCAAAAAGGGGATCCACTCTCTTTAACATAACACAAATTCTAGTCCACATCCGTTTACACCTAGGAACGTATATGGAGGTTCCACCTTAGAATTCGGCATTTCTAACACAACCAGCCTTACGTCTTGGTCAGAAATTGGTTTGTTATATTTACCTTTATTGCTTATTCACTTTATTCTTTGTCCCCACAAATTTCTGACTAGACAACTTAAACTCAGCAAAGGAATGACCAACCCGCTAGGTCCAACCTCTGCGCGAAGCAATTTATTAGGGTAATAGCCGTCGTTCGGATCCGAGCAACATCAAAATTCAATTTTTACAAAATTTTAGCAAAAGAAAAAGAATGACGTGCAGAGGGTAATAATTTATGGGCCCAATAACAACTTCATCTAAAATGAATATAACCAAACTTCGACCGTTAAATCGAAATTAAATATTTAATGCTTCTAGACTGAGCCTAAGGCTCCATCTAAAAAATGAATATAACCAAAACTTCGACCGTTAAATCGAAATTAAATATTTAATGCTTCTAGACTGAGCCTAAGGCTCCTGTAGGTAAAGTCGCGGTTTTATTACTCGATATCTGAAATACCATCACTTTTTCGCTGTTTGTGATGGGCGGTCAAGTTTTCTTAGGTCCTAGTGTCCCCCCGGAAGATTTAATTTTTTGCTACCTCTCTCAATCATAATTTTCTACAATCCAACCTTCCAAATTTTAAACTCAAAACCCAATTTTCGAAAGTAATGTAAAATTCATCCTTCAAAGCTTAGACGATAATCAAATTTCGTCTGAAGGCTGCCTTTTTGGAAACAGTATTTAAATTCCAAAGCCTTATAGTTCACTTTAAAACTTTAAAAACGGGTTTAAATTTTATATAATATATATCAAAAAAAAAGAAATTGATATTTTCTTCCGTACCGTATCACAAAGCTCTCATTCAATTTTATCCAAATTCTTGGATCCAAATTCCAAATTCTTCACAATTCATCGCACAGGAATCCGGGCAACAATCGATCGAATCCCATTCATCGAACACCGCGACGACAGCAACAACTCCAGCCATCGCCACCCATTCATCTGCCAATGCACAGCCCGCAACATGTTCGTTTTTGAAAACATTAATCTCTAATAATATTGAACTCTCGCCTTTCATGGTGATCTTTTTCTTCAATCTTTCTCGGTTCAAAGTCTTGATACCTTTGCTTACAATTATTATCGTGCTTAAGATGTACCCAGTGTCCTCAATTCTTCCTCCATTTTTTCCCTCCATTGGAAATCAGTTCCCTGGAAACAATTCATCTTCGTCTTAGAACAGAAATGGAGGGATATATGCTTTGGTTGATAGATTGACGAGTCTGTAGTAGTACCACAACCCCAGAATGAACGCTACAGTTTCTTTTAGAGATGGTCGAGGCAATGATCCATTCACGGAACCATCCATAAGTAGTGATGATCCCTGACTCCCACTTGCTAGTTGCGACATCTAAATTTGATGTTAGCGCTTCAAAAAGGTTATTTCATATATACCTGGATTGGAGGATTATTTTCAACTAATTTCGGCTTTTTGATCTGGCACGGAAGCGAGGTGAGCTAAAAAGAAACAATAGACACAATTTTAACATTAATGTAGCGTACCAAGGTTTTGGTGATGACGAGAGCGAGCAAATCGTGCAGCAGAAGGAACCTAATTATCATAACAAACTTGTAGGCTTAAAACTTTGACATACATTAACGGTCGGTCTAATACAATAAATTATTGCACCATTCTGTGAAGCAGAAGCGTGATTTCGTTGTTGCAACATCTAGGTCATAATACATGTTAAAATATTCAAAGTCTGAACTACTGAAGGAATTCGAAGATCCGTGTGACTGAATCGTGCTTGACTGCTCGTTTCATCAGACGTTAAGGCCTAAAAACACTGAAAGCTTTAGGCGGCAATGAGTCGATTAATTGATGAACTCGTCCAAAAAGTTATTCCAGAAGAATATGTAGCGCTTTAGCATAATTTGCTAAAAAATTAATTCAGGTTTCATCCGATGCTCCTATCACTACGTCAACGGCAGATACAAATGAGGAGTTTGATATGGATATCAAAAAAAGTGACAACGTTTAGTGATTCAATTCAGCACAACCTCTATGAGGTTGACAAATTTTGTTTCCTACGACAAAAATCCTTGTTTTTAGTCTCAATCACAAGAACAAAACCAAGACTGCTTTAATGGAATCAAAGAAGCGGATGGGCACAACAAAATGCTGGGACTGACTCGTCCCGAATTGAAACGGGTAAAAATAATTATCATTTTAAAGAAACGTTAACAGTAAAAAGTCTTACGCTGATTACGCTATTGATTTAGGCCTTAACGTCTGATGAAACGAGCAGTCAAGCACGATTCAGTCACACGGATCTTCGAATTCCTTCAGTAGTTCAGACTTTGAATATTTTAACATGTATTATGACCTAGATGTTGCAACAACGAAATCACGCTTCTGCTTCACAGAATGGTGCAATAATTTATGGTAGTTAGACCGACCGTTAATGTATATCAAAGTTTTAGCCTACAAGCTTTGTTATGATAATTAGGTTCCTTCTGCTGCACGATTTGCTCGCTCTCGTCATCACCAAAACCTTGGTACGCTACATTAATGTTAAAATTGTGTCTATTGTTTCTTTTTAGCTCACCTCGCTTCCGTGCCAGATCAAAAAGCCGAAATTAGTTGAAAATAATCCTCCAATCCAGGTATATATGAAATAACCTTTTTGAAGCGCTAACATCAAATTTAGATGTCGCAACTAGCAAGTGGGAGTCAGGGATCATCACTATTTATGGATGGTTCCGTGAATGGATCATTGCCTCGACCATCTCTAAAAGAAACTGTAGCGTATCAAACGCCGTTTGTCTTTCAATTTGTTCTTTGATGATTTGTTTTTAGACTCGTGCAGTCGTGTGATGGGCGATAATCGCACAATGATCGACTTCTCATTCAGAGAGGAGCTCAATCAGAGAAGGGAACATGTCGAGGATTTGTTCAATTTCGCGGGATCAAAGGTTTATTGATAAAAGTGATAAAGAATCTAAAAGCGATTAATCCAAAACAGCAACTAGGCACAGTTTTGACTTTTTTGTAAGCCTTTCTGCCCTTTCAGGTGGGTCGAGGTACCTATGGACATGTGTATAAAGCAACACCCAAATCCCCAGCTTCTATGAAAATGTACCCAAATAAATAAGTGCCTTGGGCTTGAATAAGTCTAGATTTTGAAATTTAAAACAAAATTTTTTGATCTAACTATATAAAAATTGCAGGGAATATGCTCTGAAGTTGATCGGAAGGGAATCAACAATTCACGGTCGAGCGCTTGCAGAGGGATCGCTTTGTTAAGAGAACTCAAGTCAGTTTGTTAACTACTTGGAATTCTAAATATTCAAATTTATATCCAACTCTTCTTATTGATTTACTTTAGACACCCAAATCTCATCCGATTGAACGGGTTTTTTTAACAAAAGAGCGCAATGTTTGGCTTCTCTTGGACTGTGCCGAACACGATTTATGGCACATTATAAAACATCATAGAGGTAAAAATATACAACCCGCATCATTGAGTTAGCCCTTTTTGACTACCCGACTTCATACTCTCAAGAAAATCCAGGCATTAAATATTTTTAAACCCGTTTTAATGTTATTTTTGCAAAAATAATTGGTTTTCTCTAATCAACCGTAGTTTAATTCGTGCATTTGTTCGCTTGAAACGGCAGACGAAAAGGAACAAAAACACTTATGCATCAGATAATAGATTGTTTTAGAGGACAAAAGTCTTTTAACGTTGGTTTTTAGAAGTTTGCTCTTTGTCTTGATCTTGTTCCAAATCCGATCAATTTGCAAACGTTTGAAAAATTTAAAGAACTTATGATCTCTATCTTATTTAACATTATAAAAAGATGAACTTTTAATAAAACAAAAAATTGAGCCTTTAAAAAAGCCGTCTTTTAACCGTTGACAAATTGTTCGAATCTTTTCTAAGATATACAAAGAGCAAACTTCTAAAAACTAATGTTAAAAGACTTTTCTCCTTGACTGTAAAACAATCTATTATCTATTATCTTTATTATCATCTTTATTATCTTTATGAATGGATATCAATGACGTCACAAAGAGCAAACTTCTAAAAACCAAAAGCTACTAAAACTTAAAAGACTTTTCTCTATGACTCTATCTTTATTTTAATCATAGAATCCATGTCTTCTCAAAAAACGAACCTGGAAAAGCAAAGCTCGATCTGATCGATAATGCTCTGAATCGAGAAGGTATGCCCAGTAGTTATCGTAATATTGCGGGTTACCAGTGAACTGAAAAGTGAGCTAGATTTTTTCAATCTATTGGAGAATTTCAGAACTTGAACAAGAACAAGAAGAAGAACAAGAACAAGAACCAGAACAAGAACAAGAACAAGAACAAGAACAAGAACAAGAACAAGAACAAGAAGAAGAAGAAGAACAAGAACAAGGAGAAGAACAAGAACAAGAAGAAGAACAAGAACAAGAAGAAGAACAAGAACTTGAACATGAAGAACAAGAGCAAGAACAAGAAGAAGAACAAGAAGAAGAACACGAACTTGAACATGAACAAGAACAAGAACAAGAACATGAACAAGAAACAGAAGAAGAACAAGAACAAGAACATGAACAAGACCAAGAACATGAAAATGAACAAGAACAAGAACAAGAACAAGAACAAGAACAAGAACAAGAACAAGAACAAGAACAAGAACAAGAAACAAGAACAGGAGAAGAGTTTGGTGCAGAACTTGAATATGAACAAGAACTAACGAACAAGAACAAGAAGGGCATGAGAGGAAGGCTGAACAAGAACGGAATATGAACAAGAACAAGAACAAGAACAAGAACATGAGAAGAACATGAACAAGAACTTGAATATGAACAAGAACAAGAACAAGAAGAAGAACAAGAACATGAACAAGAACATGAACAAGAACATGAACAAGAACAAGAACAAGAAAAAGAACAAAAGAAGAACAAGAACTTGAACCAGAAGAAGCACAAGAACAAGAACTTGAACAAGAACATGAACATTCGAAGCTTGAACGAGCGTGTTCAATCTTCAATTCAATGTTCACAGAAAGCAAAAAGAAGATTGGCACCTACCGCGAAGCCATCCTGAACTACCACATTGCGAGGATCGGAAAAGAGCCTTTATAGGCCCCGCCCGATTTCCCAAATATTGAATATGGGCAAAAACTGAATACAGTATCGGATTCCCCGTGTCCCATAGACGTTCGCATCTGAACGGCATCAAAATCGCTACGGCCATTTTGTGGCATTTCCTTTAAGCTCTTGTTTGCACACATCGGTTAATGTAGGCTACTGCTGATGTGTTGTCAGCTCAAGCAGGATGTGCATGGATTTTTGCTTGAGTAGATGGTGAAATGAGCTATACAAGCTAAAGATATGTCAATGATTATATTCAAAAGTGGCATCGAAAGTGATCACAAGTACCCTTTCTCAAATAATACTCAAAAATTGTTACCGTTTCTTTTCTTGTAATTTCTTGTAAAACATTTACGAGCTTTGACAATTGATTGAAATGTTTTTGATTCATTTTGCCATTTGTTAAGTCGTGCATTTCGATGATTTTATATACTTTTTATTATTCTTAGATCAGAAACATGGAATTCTCGAGTAAAACAATGGCAAACTAAAGTGTCACAGAAACTGAGGCCTAAACAAAGAGAATTGAATGGATAGATATGGTATAGAGTCGTTTTTTAAAAAAGCACCCAATTACCAAAAAATTTTCAGGTTCAAGACCTTGGTTTACATCTGAAAAGATTTTAGTACATAGATTAGATAAAAGTAGAGTCAAAACTATGGTAGTTTTTGAAGATTGATTTGAATTAAAAAGTCAGAGTCAAAACAAGCATCACTTCAGCTTTAGTCTGGTGCGAGAGCCAGTTGAGCCCGTCGGCGAGGAGTCTGATGAATAGTCGTTCTCTTCAGCTGCCACTCGATTTGGCTAAGGACAACATAGGACAAATTCGGTCAGCTGGAATTCTATGATGAACGATCAACAGAAAAGACGCGAAAGCGTCCCGCGTCACATCCCGTTATTTGATTATTAGAATAAGAATCATGAGATTATGAGAAATGAGTGCCGGATGTGTCTCGCAGTTTTGGAGTGGTTTTGGAAGATAGTGAGGGTTCCGAAGAAGAGAAAGGGGTGGAGAAAAAGAAAAGATACAGAGTATATGCAAAATCAGCAATACTACAAGGAAGCTATTGCATTGAATAATTGGTTGTGGCAAAGCACACAATAATTCCATTACCAGTGGAAGTGACAATGCACGACCACGTAGTAAAATGAAAGAAGTTGATTTCTCAGAATTATGTGCTCATAATCATGATTTCTCATAATCTCATGATTCTTATTCTAATAATCAAATAACGGGATGTGAGCGCGGGATGTGTCTAGCTTTCTTTTTTCTTTTATTCTTCAAGCTTTCTACTTTCGATTTTTTAAGATTCGTATCCAAAAAGAAAGGGCGAAAGATAGAATTATACTTTCTGAATCTGAATCTTGATATTTTTACCCCTCTTCGGATGGGAACGCCCCCTTTCAATTCTTTTGAGTACTAATGATAGGGAAAGCCTCAAAAAAATTATACTTTTGGAGGCGAATTTTAATTTAAAGAGCGGCTAGCAGGAGTGGGTCAGGATAAAGAGATAGAGAAAGAGATAAAGAAAGAGAGGCAAGACCTATTTATCAATTCATCTTTATTAGCTGCCATATTTTCCCTTTGGGGAAATTTATTTATCTATTTTATATTCATCTTGTTCATTATTCATCATTCATCTATTTTATATTTTATATTCATCATCATCCAAGATTTGTTAAAGAATGAGGGTACAGTCTTTAGACCTGCGTGTCGAATCGGAAAATTGAGTTAACCGAAGGCGGCCTAAGGCTCTTAAAGGGAGCCTACCAGACTCGCCAGATGTGGAGCTCTTGAAAGACCTGAGTGAAAATCGATCCGATTCTTTGCTTGTCGAATTGCGAAAGGTATACCTATCGCAAATTTCTAACTTCAACTTCATCTAGCAATCGGGTCAACAACTTGGGATGGCAATTGGTAAAAGAGGCCGGGGAGTGCTTGTAACGGGGCTACAGCCGGGAAGTGCGGCTGCGGAAAAGCTAGAAGTGCACGATAGAATCATGGCCGTCAATGCGATTAAAGTCACTGATCAGGCAAGCGATTTTGAATGCAAACGGTTAATTCCATTATTTAGCGTCTTGCAGAAGAACTTGTGAAGAACTCAGGGGAACGTCTTTTCCTACAGATTGCTCGGCCTCAGGAGAGGCGACTGCGATATTTTTCCGCCTTTTCCCCAAAAACATTAGTGTTCGAAAAAATTCCATTGTCATAGTTCTCAAAATTCGAGTTTGGGTCCAATGCGAGCTTTTTCCCTTATCTGGTCTAACCTTCCCTTTTTTGCTTTTCATTTTTAATCTTGCTTTTCTTTTGGTTAATTAATTTGAATACTTCTCTGCATAAATTTATTTGCAAAAAGACGTTTAAAGACAAAAGCGTTTTCTACGCAAATTTACGCTAAAGTAGAATATCCGAAAAAGTGAAACCATTTGATTGTCTGTAGCTCGAGTCATAGAAATGAAATCATTCAAGGTTGTTTTATTGAAAATAAAAAA